CTGTGAGGTCAGTTTCTTTATCATTAATATGCAAATTGTTGCTTTGAACAGCTTTTTTCCCTTAACACATGAAGTCATCATTTTAAAAAGTGCTACATTTACAAAAGTTTACACAAATAAACTACATTTATTTCTAATTACTCTGGTTATCTTTTTCTAATATTAAAATTAGAGCAACCTGGTCTCAAACACAAACCCGTATCCAACCAGGTCGAATGCCACCCATATTTCAGACAACCAAAACTTCTGGAGTACTGTCGTCAGAATGACATCATGATTGTTGCCTATTGCCCAACTGGCTCCTCTAGAGATGCATCTTGGGTGAATTTGCTGGGCGATGAGGTGCTTGTATCCATTGGGGAAAAAGTACAACAAAAGTAGTGCCCAGGTGGCCGTGCGCTTCAACATACAGAGAGGAGTTGTAGTGATCCCAAAGAGCTTCAACCCCGAGCGGATCAAACATAACTTCCAGATATTTGACTTTTCACTGACTGAGGAAGAAATAAAACCATTGAAGCACTGAATAAAAATATTCGGTTTGTTGAGTTGCTGATGTGGATTGATCATCCGGAGCACCCCTTTCATGATGAATACTGAACTCTGTAACTTTTATGTGATGTACTTGATTTTTAAGAATAAATGACAGATCATAGTTTTTCACAGCACTTTCCTTGAACTTGAACTATTAACTTCAGAAAGTTAATAATGTGAGAAAATAAAGGAGAGAGCCGGTATATGTGACACTCTTCTAACTCCACTTGTCCTTCTGCAGGTGTTCTTCAGAGCAGGGATTCTGTCCAGACTGGAGGAGCAGCGAGATTTCCAGACGAGGAGGAACATTTCTCTGTTCCAGGCTGCTTGCAGGGGATACTTAGCCAGACAGGCGTTCAAGAAGAGAAAGGTAGGACTACTTTATCATTTGGCATTTAAAAGTTAGGAATTACGTGTTGACATCTGACCAACACAGCACTGATGACTTGCAAAAAAGATATGTCGTATATTTGCCATTTGTAAATATACTGGCTTCCCCCCTGCTGCTCGGATGATTTTTGTGATCATGCATCTCCAGTGAGCAACTGCCAAAGAAACAGCTCTGTTAGCTACTCTTTCCCACTGTGACTTCATCATAGTCCAAGTGTCTTCTTTAACCATTCCAGTATCGATTACTGACTGTGTGACGTCATTCTCATACCTTTTATCACCTTTCCCCCTCCATTTTAATTTTTAATTTTTGATTGTTTTTCATTTTGTTCTGCATTTTCAATAACATAGCTTTGAGGTGACTGTTGTTGGGATTTGGCATTATATTCCTTATAGGTGATTTCTATCAGGTAGATTGATGACAGATTAGGAGGAAAACTTTAAGGAGAGGAACTGAAGAAACTGGAGATGCAGAAAACCCCTTTAATCTGTCTGTACCTTTTATGCCTCATTGGTATGACCTTATTATTTTACTACACTATAACCACAAAAAGCTTGATTCCTGACATTGACTTTGAATCCAGAATGAGTAGAACTATTAGGACATTACAGGCAATAAAAAACACATAATCAATCATAATCTTGAGCAGCCGTGTGTTAACATCCTTTTGGAAATGCCCTCCTGGTAATCCTCTTAAAAAACAAACACTGGATGTCATCAGTCCCCGAGCAGACATCAGGGCAAACCAGTAAGGAGCCACAAGTGCAGCCATGGCTATTATTGCCTCAAGGCCTCGGTTTGAGCCCCAGCTTTTATGGCAAACAGTTATCTCGTATAATTGATGTAGACTGGAACTGGGTTAATTTCTTTCATGTCATTGTAAATAGCTAGTTGCTGATGTGCTGTTTATAGGCATTGGACAGAGTCTCAGACTCAGTTGTGTCAGAAGCTGGTGTTGAAGGCAAAGAGTAGCAGTGACTCTTGAGGTGAGGGACAGAACATGTCTGACAGATAAAACCCAATTTTGGGGTTAAAAACATGCATAAAAGTGTTAACCCAACTGACTAAAAGACAAACCAAGGCAATGTTTATACAACAAAAGTATGATTTTGCATTTTTTATACATATATGGTAAAAGGAAATTTGAGCACATTACTCCTCCCTGCACTGGCTTCCAATTGAATTTAGGATTCATTTTCAAGTTATTTTATTGGTTTTTAAATCTTTAAATGGTCTGGCACCTGCGTAACTGTCTGATTTGCTGAAGCCCTGTGTCCCCACTCGTTCGCTCCGGTCAGCTGAGCAGCTGTTGCTCTCAGTCCCCAAAATCACGGCTGAAACTGAGAGGAGACCGAGCGCTCTCTATTGTGGCTCCTAAACTTTGGAATAATCTTCCTCTTCACATTAGGCAATCGACATCAGTGCTGGTTTTTAAACCCAGATTGAAAACACATTTTTATTCACTGGCTTTTGACTCAGTGGTTGACTGACTTGTATTTTATTGTTTTCGCTATGTTTATTATTTTATCGTATTTATTATTCTTATGGCATCTATTATGTTTCTATTGTTCAGCACTTTGGTCAGCCTTGTATGTTTTTAAAGTGCTATATAAATAAACAATGATGATGATGATGATGATATATATTTATTTTAAATGGTACAATACATTTCTAGTACCTTAAAAATTCATTGTCCAGAAGCAGGTGTGATAATATTAAAATACAAATATTAAAAAACAAAAAAGTCTAATTACCATTTAGAAAACTAGAGTTTTCTAAATGGTAAATTATACTAGTATTTGTAGTATTTGTAGCGCCTTGCTACTTCACTTGAGCACTCAAAGTGTTTTCTACTAAAAATCGTATTTCCTCGATCACATTCAGACGGCACTTTTATCTACGCCTAAACGCTGTATCTAACATTCACACACACAATCTGATGGGTGCATCGGGGGAGTGCGTCTGGGAATAAGTATCCTGATCAAGGATCCGAGGATACTTCAGCACTTGGACTGGATGAGCCGGAGATTGTTGCACCTACCTTACAATCGGTAGACTGGCTGCTCTACTGCCTGAGCTACAGCTGCCCTGTTTCAATTAAAAGAGCGTCAGGGGATTTCATTAGTATTTGACAGTTCCCCTGAAATAAAAGTGAGTTTGAGTTTAGATTGTGATTGATGATTGTGCTTTAGTCATTTTCTTCTCTGCATGTGCGCGTTTGCGCGTGCATGTGTGTAAAATAATAACCTGACAAGTGGGAAACATTGGTGCTGTCTTGCAAAAATACACGTGGGGATCTGTTGACTTTATGTGTAGCTTTACAGAAGTGTTCATGCTGCTTGTGAAACCTTTCTCATGTGTACACAAAGTTAATTTGGTACACAGTGTTTGTATTTGTGGTAAGTGTATATGTGTGTGTGTGGAGATTAAGCTTTCATTACCATTTCATTTTATCCTGTCTTGCAGCACTGGTCTCAGGGCTGCCAACAAAAATGACTTTTCAAGGGCGTTTGGCTTTCATGTTATCCCCAAAGAACTCCGTTTGAGCCTCATCTCTTGTGGCAAACAGTAATCTCATGTAATTGATGTAGAACTGGGCACATTTCTTTTACGCCGTTGTAAATAGTTTGTTTCTAGTGCGCTGTTCATAGGCATCCTGGAGAGTCAGACTTGGTTGAAATCTCAAAGCAGATAAGAGGAAATGGCTCACACTGTAGTTTGTCTTCTAATGCAACTTAGGATGCCTTGACAAGTTCATATCATCACAGTGACATATGTCTAAAATATCTTCTCAATAAGTTACCCAGCATTTCATCACTTCAGTGCTTGTATTGTAAAGGAGCAGTAAGAAATGCTGGATTTGCACTAGAGCTCTAAAAATTACAAGAATGAAAAGTGAAAGTGATCCAGCATCACAGCCCTGTGAATAAACTTTAAAGACACATTAAATCCAATCTGCTTACCCATAAAACATACATTGAATGGATGTTGTTAAGCAATGAATGCCGGTGGGAGCTTTAAAGATGTAGGAGTAGATTGAACTCTGCAGTTACTGAGTCAACTGGGTGCTGGCGGCTTTTATGTAATGCTGCTCTGTAACTTTACAGACTCCGTATACTGAGTGTTCAACATTAGCCAAAAAGCTAATCAAACTAAAAATTAAAGATTTATCAAAGTCTGTCCTTTTTCCTTCTTACAGATGGACTTAGTTTAGAACGTGAATTTGTGCTGTAATTTGTATAACAATCAGGTTTGCTTTTTTTGTCACAAGACACAACCGGTTAGTTTGTTTACCCATCTAACCCACTTCCCTGCTCTAGGGAACCTCCTTGTTGTCTTCCAAATTCCTCATATCCTACCCCCTCTCTCCCTGAGGGAGCTGCATTCAAAGCACTCCAGGAAATAAGTGAGATGGAGAAGGATGATGGGGAAAAGGGAAAAAAGGAAAGAAAAGCTAGAGAAAGATGAAGACTCCACTTCGCCATGGGGGAACAGACAAATAGAAGAGATCTGCTGACTGCTTTGAAGCCCTGCAGTCTGTCTCCACTCTCTCTCTCTTTGACATTCATAGGAACAGTTGAGAGGAGCACGGGGGATTCCACTGCCAGCCAGCCGACGCTGAGCCTAATTAAACAGTTGCCTAAAGAAAGAATCCCCACTACACTTTCCCCACCCTGACAGGAAACAGGTGTATTGAGAAAGATGCTACTGCTTGTATTCAGACTAAGTGTTACTGTCACTGTCATCTATTGAAAGCATTTGAAACAAAATGTATACGAACGCTGGATCTAAACTTTTAATGAAGTAAAATCATACAGTATGGTGAAAAAATATCTTGAGCCAGTCCTCTTTTCTCTTTGCTAGGAAAATAGGAAGCTAAATAAGACTTGAAGCTTGAAAGTCAGTATTTGTTATTTTGACTGTCTTTACTCTTCAACATAGACATAACTCTCTTAGGCTCACTATGGAAAACTGTGGTTGGGGTTCATGTCCTGACCAAAACTATGGAGAAATATTGGTGATCTTTGAAGTTGTCATTTCAAAGATAGGGACCAGGTCTGAGGCTACTAACTACTGTCTTCAAAGGATTTCAAAAGGTCCATCAAGATGAGAATAAAATAGCACCAAGACAGAGTCTGTCTGCGATTAGTTTTCCATTGAACAGGTTCAAGTTAGCACTTATAAGATAAGATAAGATAAGATAAGATAAGATAAGATAAGATAAGATAAGATAAGACTTTATTGATCCCACAACGGGGAAATTTTTGTGTCACCTCAGCTCAGGTACAGATATCAGAAGGAAATACAAAAATACAATAAGTACAATCAATGAAAAAAAGTAAGATAATACACTATATACAATGGTAGCAAACACAGTATGTGATTATGGATATGGTTGGAAATATGGAAGACATAAACTATATAGCTTGATATAGCTATTGTACCACTACTATTCCTGTTTATAGACATGTACACACTAAAAATACATATGTATAGATATACATACATATATACCTGCACATGTCCGTACACATGGAAGGTCCATTATGCATGAAATCTGTTTTCTGTCTGTTTTCTGTCTTATCTGTTTGCAATAATACCACAATTAACTCTAGTAAATCTAAAATCTGTTGCCATCTGTACCAGATGACCACTGATGAGCAACTACTGATCAAAAACCATTGATCAATGGTCATGAGTACAATTCAGAGAGCTGGGGAATGGCTGCAATCATTGTAAGATGGTGAAAGATGTAACACCGGTACCAGAACCATGACACAGATCTAGAAAGGAGTTTGTGTGCAAGAATATTTTAAGTTTTCTGTTATTTATTAGATTAGATTGAAATGGATGAATGAAGAACTAATTTAATTTGCAGTGCAAAATATTTGAATGGTCAAATTAACTGTAAATATGCCAAAAAAACAGACTGCTATGCTTTTTCTGATGACTAAAGATGGGATGTTTGACACTGAGGCTCTGAAGCCTGTTTCACTGTGATGATAAAGACTGGTTCGAAGCACTTTCTTAAGGCTTGTTTCAAATGTCCGTGGTTACGTGACTGATGAGATTTGATGCTTTGTGCATCACAGTGAAACACTGGAAGTGAGGCGACTTATTCAAATCTTTAGCGCTCTTCTAAAGATCTCTTCCTCTTTGCTTCGTAGCATTCTTCAGTGGTCAGAACTTCTCACACATCTTCAATCATACCTCCCATAATCATAAGTTATGTTTCAAGTATTATAAGCAGTAAAAACTTAAACCTGCCAGAATGGGCCATTTTGATCGTGACCTGTTTTTGAAGAAGTTAAGTTGTTCATTTTCATGTTATTTCTTTTCTAGTTTTAAGCAAAGGTTGGTAAAATAAGTATTTAAAATGACTTTTGATAGGTCTGTGTAGCACAGGCCTATTGCTGGAACACCAAAACAATTCTACTACAATGGCAAAAACTGTGACGAGCGCCGTTCCTTCCGCTCGAACCTCAGTCGCTCTCAGTTAGCTCCCTTGCAGCACTGTTCTTTATTATGGTTACATGAATATGCATAGTCTCATTAACATATGACGTCTTACATAGGCGTACATGTGAACAAAGAGTAGTTTCAAGATGTGACCCTGTGAACGACTCCCCAAAGCTGGTGCCAGGAGCCCAGCGGTCCACCTAAACAAAGGGCTTTTATACGGTGTCCTCCTATACCATAAATCAGTAAGAGAAGGTACGACCTCTCTCACGACCCTAGGACAGCGGTCCCCAACCCCCGGGCCTCGGACTGGTATCGGTCCGTGAGTCGTTTGGTACCGGGCCGCGAGAGTTGAGGCTCAGGTGTGAAATGTATGGTTTTCAGGGTTTTTATCGGTTTTCAGCGTTATTTTGTTATCGTTTTTATCGTTAACTCGGTTTTCCTGGGTCTTTTCACGTGTGTTATGAATAAATCTTCTTTTTTTCGGTACCAGTACTAGTTTTATTTTGTTGTATTTATCCGCGACACCTTAAAGGCCGGTCCGTGAAAATAATGTCGGGCATAAACCGGTCCGTGGCACAAAAAAGGTTGGAGACCGCTGCCCTAGGATGTGTATGCCAGAACCCTCTGGAAGGCAGCTTCAACTTTCTAGGGTTTTTGTTAGATTTATAGATTATTTAGATAATTTCATTACTGATCATAAATTTAAAATATTCATTATAATAAACTAATAAACATAGGGAACAACAAATTACACAGCAGCTGGCACATGTAAATATTTAATTGTTATAGAAGAAGAGCTTTATGAAAAGGTAAAAATGAATTATTACATATTACATATAAAAGAATTATTGTAACATTAGAAAAGTTCATATTTATCTTGCACATCTTCCTCTGATCACCTGCAGCCCTTCACCTCCTCCGCTCTTCCCTGAAACCTGTCCAATTTCACTGTTTATTTCCACAGACTCTTTGCTCAGTTTAACTCTGTTCTGCTGCTTCTCTGCAAAGCCAGCAGCACATCCAGTTCTGCATGCACTCTGTCACACAGTGCCCACTCTGATCTGCTATTGTGCCAAAAAGTTGTCTCTAAAAAAGTGATTTCCGATGTTTTTGAGTGTTTTTAATGTCAATATCTTTGCTTATACGTGTTATGCCTGTAGAAGTGACATAACATTAAGTGGTTAACCTATATATACATTTTGAAAAAGGACGTGTTTTGCAAGTATCTTTATGATTCTGCCTTTATACTACCCACTATGTGTTCTACATTATAATAAATGTCCTTTTTGGCCACTTCACATATCTTTATGGAACTGTTATCTTATTATATTTGTTGTACTTTCTGCCGCCCTCTTGCTCAGATGCCTCAGTGAGTGTTTATACCTGGATAAGTGAAGGATATATAAAAGTCACTTTGCCCACAGCTGATTGCAGCTTCTACCTGGTGACAGGAATGTTCTTTGGCCTCAAAATGACTTCATATCATTTGAGAGGTCACTTTTTTGCACAACCCGTTCAGGCCTGCAGTAGCCTAATTGTTCATCTGTTATTTAACTGCAGTCCCTTATATATTTGTTTATCACATTTAGCTCACGCACATTATTACAGGATCTTTCATGACAAAATGAGGTCAACACGACCCTCTTGGTGGTTTTACTGTTAAACATTTTATAGTAAACTGACATTTCAAAATGTTGTGACACTTTCATGTGTGGGTGATAATCCTTAGAATGAATTCTTGCCTTTGTGTTGGAACTGGAGTTGAAAGTTTGTAGCCACTATAATTACAGCTGACCAGTAGATGTTACTGGTAGGATATGTCTTTGAAGCTTTGAAGCTTTAAATCTTCAAATCTCTTTTTGGTAGTCTCCCCACATAGTACTTTTTTGGTTATCCTCCTTTTTGTATCTGTTAATATCATTGTCCAGCTTTGTGGTCTTTTTCTTAATGTTGTTGTATTTGTGTGACAGATTCAGGATCTGGCAATCCGCTGCATCCAGAAGAACATAAAGAAGAATCGTGGTGTCAAAGGCTGGCCATGGTGGAAGCTGTTCACCACTGTCAGACCTCTGATAGAGGTGCAGCTCACTGAGGAACAGATCCGTGGCAAGGATGTAAGTTTAAGCACATGCTGAGTTACCACCAGAGACGGGCAGTAACGGGTTACAAGTAACGCGTTACTGTAATCCGATTACTTTTTTCAAGTAACGAGTAAAGGGATTACTATTGCAAAAACGGTAATTAGATTACCGTTACTTTCCCGTAGGAACACTGCGTTACTGCGTTACTAAAACCGTGATTTTTTGCCAGAATGTCTCATGACAGTGACGTAAGCGAGTGCGACGTTCGTGACAACAGCTGTGTGCAGATCAACAATGGATCATATATCGAGTGCAGAGAGAGTATGAGCTTGCAGCGTTTAAAGCGTGGAAGTACTGACCTTACTTTGAGTTTGATTCCATAAAAAGTGACAAAAACATTAGTGTCCGCTGTGCGTGGGAAGAAAACCTCTTTTTACAGTGAAAAACAAACAAGCACCGAGTAGCTACGACGTAATGGGAAACTCACAGAGAAACTCGCGGATTCTTCCACTGACCGCTGCGGCACACCTGCACCAGGGTAAACCTCCGCCTACCCCACTCCTGCTTTACAGGTGAAAATAGAGCAACAGGACCGCTAGTCTTTGACTGTGTATAAACAATATATATATATATATATGTGCTGGAATGTGCAGAAAATAGGTTTAAATGTTAAACAAATTTCTTCCAGTCAGAGAATGTTGCAGATAATTAAATTTTTGCTTGATGCATAAAGTTAAAAGATTAAAACTAATAAAACAAGTTTTAAAAAGAGACTTTTCCATTTGATTACATTTTGTATGATGGATTATGCAGAAAAAGTAGAATTGGGCTGAAAGATCTATCACTTTATCACCTATTCAGGTTGTAAATCGTGTTTTTAAAAAGTAACTAAGTAACTAGGTAATTAATTACTTTTGAAAATAAGTAATCAGTAAAGTAACGGGATTACTTTTTTGGGGAAGTAATCAGTAATTAGTTACTGATTACTTTTTTCAAGTAACTTGACCAACACTGGTTACCACACTGGTGGTACGTTCCTGGTATGTATCTGAAATAAAGCCGTGTGGTGAATTAATGCACAAACATCAGTAGCCATTTTTGTGGTGGGATGTAATATTGGTGAATATGGTTATATAAACTTTGAATAATTACTTTATTTTGTATTTTACATTCAACAGTTTTAGAAATGCCTTCTCCTTAATTCTACATGACAAATCCTGAAATTACGACCAACCTGTGTAATGAAGGGTTTGTATCAAGTGTCACAGCTGTCATTTCTTCCGTGATGTTACAGATAGCCCTGCATATTTGATTTTGGAGTTTTAAACTGGATACCCTTCTTGGCGCAGCCCCAAAGGGGATATTCTTCTTCTTATTGTTGTTATGTTGGATTAAAACACATGGTTCAATTCAGTAAAATTGAGAAAAGCATTATTATTATTAAATTAAGTATATTTACACAATGCACTAACATGTATGCGACAGGCTACTGTAAAATACCATGAAGGCTACTCATCTATAGAAAACAGTTACCACTCAAATCAAATCAATTACAGATCATAAATCTTTTACAGGTCAAAGGTTACATAAGGGTAAATCAGTGCTGTAGTCATTTTAATTAATCATTTTATAATTTTACAAGTATCCATACTTTTCAAAATAATTTTTATTTTTCCCCAGGTTTTCTGCTTTTTGGGGTTGTTTTTTAAAAGCTGTGTTTCACACTGAAGTCTTTATAGTTTTTTTAATAATAGCACAATATGGTTTTAAGTAATGAGTTTTGTAATTTGTTTGTGTATTGTGAATGTAAAAGCTCGACAAGGACTGAAAATGAGCAACTATGGGCTCTATGTGCAGCACATCAGTTTCTTGCTCCATGTTGAACTGTACTAAACTGCACTGTCCCTTTTAAATACATAAATAACTAAAACCATCTTTTGATCTTTTGCATATTCCCTCTCAGGAAGAGATCCAGCAACTCAAGCAGAAGCTAGAGAAGGTAGAGAAAGAGAGGAATGAGCTGAGACTCAACAGTGACCGTCTCGAGAGCCGGGTAAATACACACACACACACACACACACACACACACACACACACACACACACACACACACAC